GTCCGGTCTGTCATGGGCCACATACAAGAGAATTCCCACGCAAGATCTGTACGTTCGTGCATCTTCTTCACGTAGTTCTTGTGATAAATCTTTCTCCTGGCACGCTGGAGCGCAAGGTGAGTTCTTGGGCTTCTTTTTCTCCAGTTTGAGGATCTCTGTCAACTTCTTGCTGTACTTGGAGTCGCTCGCGATTCTCAGTTCGTAGTCTTGGTACGTGTACTTCCTCTTGAGAAACTTCACGCTCTCTTCTGAATATCCTTTCTCGTCTTCCGGTAGCGAGGCGGTCCGCAGCCCGTGGGCTTGTGAAAAACATGCAAGAATTAAACTCCGCCGCACAACAGATGGACATTGCACTTTTAAAGTACAGAGGGTCTTCATCTGACATGTGCTCCTCAGAGGAAAACAGCCTCAAGTCACGAAACTACCTCTACGACCGTGAGAAGCCAGCGAAGGGAAGCCTCAGACCTAAAGTTGTGATGTTATCACACCCACACATAGCCGTTTTGGTGGTTTTATTCAAAACACAAATAAAACTCAGCAGAAACTCAAATAAAACTCAAACCAAGGGTCAGCCAAAAACTCAACACAGATCCAGTCCCGAAACATTGGTTTTTATAACACTCAAAAAAAACTCAAAAAAAAACTCAAAATAAACTCAAAATAAACTCAAAAAAAACTCAAGCAAAACACTGCCTATTCCACTCACCCAAAAAACTCACACAAAACTCAACGAAAACTCAAAAAAACTCAAAAAAAACTCAATTCACAAGAGAAAACCTGGTTCTCCTCTACGAATTCTAGTATTGCAGTATTGGCAATTTGTAGTAACAGTAACAGTAGCAACCATAGCAATAGTAATGATTATACGAGTAGTAGTTATAGCAAGAAGTAATAGCAGCAGTAGTCGTCGTCGTGGCTGTCGTCGTGGTAGTAGTCGTCGTCGTCGTCGTAGTACTTGTCGTAGCAGTAGTAGTACCAGTAGTCGTCGTCGTAGTCGTCGTAGTAGTGGTTGCAGTTGTCATAGCAGTCATAGCACCCATTGACGCACCGTAGCAATAGAAATGCTGGCAGCTGCTACATTCCAGCGTCACCACAATATATCTGTGGTAGTGGTCCTGCGCACGGATAAACCTAAACCCCCAAACCATAAACTTCCCTAAACCTGAAACTCCTAACTCCTACCCCGAAAAATCCTAGACCCCAAACCAGGAATTGCGAGGCCGGGGTTGAGGGGGGGTGGGCGCTAGCTCCAGATATTGATTCCATGCGCGGGGCTTTGACTAGCTTCTGCTCTTGTCTTGCATCGCTGCTACTAGTACTACTAACTGCCTACTACCACAACTGTTGGTGCTGCTGCCGCCCGCCGACCTGCACTACAATGACGACTACAACTCCGACGACTACATAACTAGGTATATCAATTGTTTCTTCCTGCTCCTGTGCCTCTGCTTCGTTCCTCTGCCACTATGCGGCGGTGAGGCCAGAGGCCCCAGCAGCCCAGCAACGGTGATGGATAAGGCAAGGCTATCGGATATCGGATAAGGACGACGTTGGATCTAATCTAATCTAATCTAATCTAATCTAATCTATCTAATCTAATGAGGATTTGGACTTTAGACAACCAGCAGCATAATGTATGGCACCCGGAGTCGAGGTCAATAAAACAAGCTATATTATATATCTTCAAAATATTTTATAAATGGTGATATTCCCAAAACAACAAATACTCCAGCGCACAGGCGTGAGAATATTTCACGAAGTGCCATCACATATGAATTTATGCAAATATCGAAATCAATCACCGTCGCCCCGGAGTCGAGGCCAAAATAAAGCAAGCCATGTCGTATATCTACAAATTCAATCTTAGATGGTGATAATTCCAGAACAAAAGCACTCCACAAAGTATCAGCTATGAGTGTAAATCGAAAATCAAATCATTCGATCCATATCGCTTACCGCACCCGCTCCAGAATCTGAGCCACTTTTTTGCACGACCGGCAATCATCGAACGTGCACTGCAAATGTGCTCAGCCTGACCGCCTCTGGCTCATCCGGTCCGGTTTTGTCGTAGTTCCATTATTGTTCCCAAAACTAGGCCTAGGACGTAGGAAAAAATGACACGATGAACTGCATCGACAGGTGCAGTTATGCCTTTAAGTCAGCTTTGCAGTGTAGCAGTGTGCGGCTAAGGAAAGTTTAGGGGTTTCGGGGTTTAGGGTTTAAGGTATAGGGCTGAAGGCTTATATAGGAATTTAAGGTTGGGTCCGGTTGAGGTTACACTACCGGTCCGGTACAGGTGTCCTAGGCCCTAGGTCCTAGGTCCTAGGTCCTCCTAGCCGGTCCTAGCCGTAGCCGAGGCCGAAATCGAATCCAAAAAACTGGCCGGAAACCTTAGGCTTAGGCCAGTGCCGTTCCGCGGGCCAAAAGCTCACGCAGCTTCTCCAAGATTTTCGGCTGCATGCATGCCTCATCAATGACTTCACCAGCAATGAGGGCCTCCTGGGCTCGAAGGCTTGCCATGATCGCCTTTGTGGGTGCTGAGGTGGCAGCCCAAATCACCAAGCCCTCACAGAATGCCATGCGGAAAGTTTTCAGGGAGCTCTGGAGCATTTTGGAGTTCTCCTCGAGAGCATTCCATCCAATGAGCTCCACACTGTCGGACTGCTTTCGCAAGCACTTGACCACGGCACCGTAGCTCTTCTGCGCCTGCTCGGCAGCCTTCGACACCTGCAATTGTAGCAAAATCTCTCTTCGGCTGTTTTCTATTGGTGTGTCTCGGCGGGTGAAGGATGCGCTGAGTACGGTGTTTATTCTTTTGCGGGAACCCCAATCTACAGCATCATTTGTTGTTATTGCTATTATTATTCGTAATAGTAGCAGCATTACAATTACGTAGCAAAAGCAGCAGCAGCAGCAGCAGCAGCAGCAGTAGTACCAGTAGTAGTGTAGTAACTTACTAGTATGAGTAGTAGTAGTAGTAGTAGTAGTAGTAGTAGTAGTAGTAGGGTAGGAGTTTGAGTAGGAGTAGGAGTCGGAGCAAGAGGTCCTACTAGTTACTAAGTTACTAGGTTACTAAGTCCTAAGTGCTATCGGTCCTATCAGGTTCTACCAGGTTCTATTCTACCAGTCTACCAGCAACACACAATGCCACCTCTTCCATCACTTCAATGGCATCACCCAATGTCTTGCCCTCGACGTTCTTCAACGCCTCTGCGCCGATGCGAAGCACTGCCGGACCATCGGCACCTGCCGGGAGTTGATGCCGCCAGTCATCCTTGCCGCCACTGTGCTTGCCCTGCACGATGCTCTCAGTTTTGCTGACTGCCGTAGAAATTCTCTCGACAATCGACTGGCCAAGCACATTCAAAGCATCGACCAGCACATGCCAGTCTACGGCTATGTGTTGGTCGAGGGGGATTGCCAAAAAAGCACCGACCAGCTCCTGAACGCCCGCCTCAGCGCTGCTGATCTCCTCCCGGACCTTGCTCAATCCTTCACCGAGAGCCGTCTTCGTCTTTTCGAAGTTCAGGAAGATCTTGGTGACATTCGCGAGATTGATGCAGGAAGCATCTCTCCGCACACGCTGGGCCGCCGTAGGAGCCAATCGTTCATACGAGGCAAGACTGTCACGAGCATTCGATGTCACCGTCAACATCAGCAACACCTGCTTGGCCAGCTCTGGAGCCGGAAAGCTGCTTTGGCCTACAGCAGCTTGCAGCATGTCGAGCTTGGGGCGAAAGAGCGCAGACCGGGTGCCGGTCTCACCCGGCGTTCTGACCTCACTGAAAGTCCATGTTATGCTACGCTGCTACACATATCTGGTTCTATCTGGCTCTTTCCGACTCTTTGCCACTCAGACCCATCTTCGTTCCCCTCATGATCCACTATAATGACTAATGCATGTATTGGGATCTGTTACTATTGTCTGCGATTGATTATGCCGCTACACCCCGAACACCAAATCAAAACATAAACTATAAACACGGAACTCTAAACTCACGAAACGGCTATGGCTATCAAGTACCCCAGACCTAAACAACTTACACACCGCAAACCCGAAACCCTAAACACTAGTCACTAGGCCTGATTACCTTCCACAGCCAAACAGGTAGCAGGTACCGACAGTACCGGACACCGAAACGAATGGGTTGGCCGGGTCGTTAGTGGATGGCCAAAACCGAATGATGTACAACCACACAATGCCCAGGTCCTAGGTTCTCAAGCCCCGCACCAAGTGCACCAGGCCACCGAATCGACAGGCTACAATGAAAAGGTCACCCACTGCCAGGTGTGGGGCAATGTTCAAACGAGGGGATAAACATGTTCAGACGGCGGCAAACCTATCAAGGCTCACAACTAAAGACTGCCACCCAGCACGTATTCCTACACGGCTACGATTCTACGACTCTACGACGACATCTTCCACTTGACTTATCTGGACCTACTTTTAGGACCTACATAGGACCTACGGACCTACGGACATACTGACATACTGACTTGGCCTACCCAAGCCTTCCTACCGGACCTACGTACCAGGTTACAAGGACTACAAGCACGTACACCGACACACCTGACCTGAAGGAACGACCCTGCTATACCCGCTACCCTGCCACGACTCCCCATGACAGCAGGGCTAAGCTTCCTGCATCCATCTCATTCTTGAGGAAATCCTCCATGTAAATGTGGAAGGTGGAGGCCAAGCCTTTGTGATCTCCGACTGGGTCTCGAGGCCTGGCACACGGGGAAGATCATCGCTGAGGACGGACCAATCGGCTTTGTTGTAGCTGAGCACATCAGACAAGCCGGCCTTCACCCTCTGCACAATCATCTCGCCTGCCATCTTCGCTTGCCATTGGCCGAGTTTCTCCAGTGCGCCGGCCAAGGACTCATCAGATGCAAAAACCTTCTTCACACCCTCCATGAAGTCTTCCACACTCCTCACAGACAAGCCTTCGGTGGAGGTAGCTGAGGTGATGTGGCGTGCGACGGGGTCCACCATCTGGCGCAGATGCTGTTCCAGCCGCTTGGTCGTGTTGGGCTTGAGCTTCTCACGAAGCTCCGGAAGCTGCTTCAAGGCAGCTGACATCTGCTCCAACCAAAACTTTGCATCAAAGTCCTGACCCTTCAGACTCTTGATCTGGTCCTCCAGGGCCTTCAGCACGGGGAAGGCCAGCTTGCCTGTCGCAGCAAACTTGTTTGTGCTGCTGATGGCCCCAGTCCAAAAGCGGTGGTCGCTGAGGAGGGCTTTGATGGAATTCTCCAGGGCCGATGAGCCCTTGTAGTTCAACAGCGCAAGCATGTTCTTGGCAGCCAGGCCCTCTCGTTCTGGGGAAGCCAAAAGCATGGTCAAAAGAGCCTTGACGAGATCCCAAACGCGGAGCACAGCCTCCGTGAACGGCTTTGTGCTGTCACCGGCATCGAGCATGGCCTGCCAAGCGTCTGTCTCCAGGTTCTTCTGCCTGGAGGCTCGTTCGCGCAAATTTT